GACTGATTCTCCTAATTTCCAGATTAACACTCTTCCCTAACAAGGCTTATATAAATGCTAAAAATTTATCTGGAAAGAAAAAATTGAAGCTTAGGAAAGAAACAATGTTACTGACTTTAGGCTGATAGTACAATTTATTGCAGCTCATCAGAAATCACAAGGCTACTGCTATGACATTTTCCTGTCTTGTATGTCTTTATTTTGTAAAATATTTAGAATACCAATGAAAAAATATGTTTAAGAAATAATCGAGTATTTCATTAATCTACTCCTTAAAGAGAGATACTTTTTCAGCTCACTGACTTGTCTGTGTAAATGCCAGGAGAGACAAAGGCAACATTAGGGACATTAGGATACCACCATGCTTAGTCAAAACTGCATCTTCTGGCAACTGGCCTTAAAATACTACACCCAGGACACCTGGAGCATAATGAAAGCTGGAATTTCAGTGCCTAGACTTCATAGATACCTTGAAATGTAAAGGTTGGCAGACTTTTAATCAATTTGGCTTACAATTACTTGTTCATCCTTTAAGTGATACAAGCAAAACACTTCACAAAAATTAGTAAAGAAAGAGAAATGGAAGTCCTCAGCAGTAATTATAATTTTTAATAATCTTTAATCAATGTAGGTAGATTCCATCATTTATATCAAACATTTCTTTATTATTTTCCCTAAATTGTCATCCTTAGCATTAATGTTAAAAATGATAATATTAAAAAGCTAGAGAGAAAATAGCTACCCAAATCTTATCCTTTAAGTTTAATAATATAAAGGCTATCTATATTGCTTTTTTGGTCCTATAATATTTACAAATTTTATTTTAGGGATTTTCTTATTCAGAGAATAAAACACTTGAAAGTGAGGAAATTAGGTTTGAATGGAAAAATATACAGAACATTCTGTCTGAACTTATCAAACCCAGTGATTTAAATGTTAAGAGGGATTGTAAAATCAAAAGAGATGAAATATAAATCATGTAAGATCAATGTTTGTTATCCAGAGAAGCAACACAATTGTGAGTTTTTTGTTATATCCAAGACATAAAATAATTTTCTAAAACAGAGTAACAGTTAAAAGGAAGAAGCATATTGTCCTCTTTCCCCTGCCCCATCTTTTGTCCAAACTAAGGGTGGGGGGGGGAGAAATAGCTTAAAAATCCCTGGGGAATTAATACTGACCTAAATCACAAATATATACCAAAATCTCCAAAAATTAAAATCATGTGGACATATAATATTACAATCTTAACATAAAAGATAGGATAAAACTTAATTGGTGGTTTTAGAGAAAAGCATTACACCAACCTAAAAGTTACACAGGTACTAATGTATAAAAAATATAGCTCAGCTATTTTATAAACAATAAATCTATATTTAAATCTCTCAAAAGAGATTGCATTGCTGGGAAACTTCTCAATTTGGCTTATGTGTTCTATGATGAGATTATTAAGCACTTCTGTCCAAAATAAAACCATGATAATGTTATCATTTCCTAACTGTATTTTCTCTATATACAGTGTTTCCTCACTATAGAACAGTACCAGAGAATCTCTAGCATTTTCAGCGCTTTACATTCATAAAAACAAATTTGTTAGGGCCACTCAGTGTAATCAGACATTTATGAAAATTTGCACAGGTGATGACTGGAAGAAATGGAGGAAAAAGCATCAGTACTTTCCAGATATGTTAATAAGACTATTTATACAGTATTTCATAATACAATGTGAGAAAATAATACTGAAAGAAAAGTTTTATTTTAGGTAAGTCTAAATGTTTCTAAAATTGAGGTTGTAATCTAACTAAAGAAAATATTATAAATCTCACAACTGAAATTCATAAATCCTCCATCCCAAGTGGGGAGAAACACCCTTTGTGGAACACAAGTTAACATAACTCAAATTATATCAGTTGTTTTAGGAAGCTATTTTCAAATTTACTGTATAGAATGAGTATAAAGAATACATTGTTAGCATGCTTAGAGTAAAACCAATAAACTGTTGGTTAACAAAAGTAAAATCCTAGGTGATCTCCATTGCGATTGAGCAATATTATCAGGAAGCATGATTTACTTACAGAGAAATGAGCAACTAAGACTGTAGCTATTTTTCAACTAAAGATAAAAATGAAAAATACATTATTGGTAGAGTAAGACCCATGATAATTCTGTGTTCCTGTCATCTTGGATCCTATTTTCAAGGAATTCAATCTGATGTTAAAAGACATGTCATAACTTGGATTTCAGATTTTAGTGCTTCAGAAATATGTTTATATACTTCATAATGTAATTATAGCTACCTTAAGACAGATAAGGCAAATGGTAGCAATATATTGGAAGTATAATTGAAAAATGCAGTTGTCCAGAAGCACTTGTGGGGATGATGCCTCTGAAAAGCTGCTCAAAGCTCTAGAGTTTGAAGTTAAATTTTTGATGTTGTCACTCTCAATCTATTGAATGGCTGACAGACAATCAAACCCGTCTGGCTGGCTGGCAGCTCATTTTGCTGGCAGGTGGCAAACAATTAGACACACCAATTTGTGCCTCCTGATGACATTAAAGCATGAAACTAAGTTGTATGCAGGGCCTAGTGATTTGTGTGAAAGCATTTCAAAAATAATACTCTTTGCCGTGGCAACTCATTTCAGACTGCCACCTCCCATTATGGCTTTGAGCAGTGAAGACGACAGACTTGAGTTACGTGCAGTGCAAGGCCGCTTCTGTTCAATCCGTCATCAGCGCCCCCTGAGACCTCAATCCCCTCCTTTCATCAATATCACCTCATCATTTACATTTGATAGTACTTGAGCTACTGCATATATTAACTACACTAGAGACCCTTTTCCTAAAAAGAACTGAAGTATGCTTTGTGTGCCTCGATTTCATTTCTACTTACGCAATTTAGAATAATGATCCCACTCCCACTGCACTTTGCACAAATGCTACAAGGAACAAATGGAAAGTTCTATTTTTTTTTAAAGCAATATTCACAAAAGTATAATAAATCTTGAGTAGCTGAGAATATTGGCACTTTTGTTGTTTTAATGAAAAAATTGTTCTAACAATAATTCAAATTAAAACAAAAAATGTTGAACTTAATTTTTATTTCACTGGATTCCCTTATGCAAATCAGAATAATTCTCTGTATTTATTTGTTTTGTATTCTAACAAAATTTAAATATATAATTTATTTATTTATTTATTTTTTAAATATATAAAAGTGGAACACAAAATTTTTATGATCCTAAGTTAAATTACTATAACATTTTTATAAATATATACAATTACAGATACTTACATACACATGTTTACATACACTCATAAAGACACATGCACATATATCCAGGGAACATAAACCGAATACGTGAAATAGAGGACATCAATCTGAGATGGCATAAGCAACATCTAATATGAATGAATGAATATCCAAATATAATATTAACACAAACTGTTAGAAAAAATATTTTCCTACATTTTATAACCCCTCCTTTTTTAGTTTTTTAAAATTCTGAGACTTAACACATTTTAACTTGTGTGACAATTTTTTGCAAACATTTCATCTCCATTTACTACTCTCTAAGTTCAATATAGAGAACACTGTTTTTATCCATCTTCATATCGACATGATGACTGATGCTATTTATATTTTCACAATAAAATTTTCAAGAAGTATCTGTAGAACAGTTGTTAAAATCTTTAAAGGTAAAGTTTAATTAATATTTAAATATAAAAAAGATAATCTGTCTTAACTGAAAATGCCTTTACTGCCATACCTTAATACTAAATACTTAATACTAAATACTAAATACTTAATACTAAAAAATGTACAAAGCAGTATGGCTATCTTGGAAAAGTAAAACAGAATAGCTAGTACATTTTGACTATATGTTTATTTTTGACACTCCAGTTTAAGAAACATTTGATTTTCTAACTTGAATTTTTCTCTCTAAAAAACAATTGCTTACCAATCATCTTACACACACATATAAATTTTGGGTGGGGGAAAGTGTTTTTAACTTCAATCACAATTTAATTCAGATGGTAAACACATTCTTTAGTTTACATGCTAATATGTAAATATTAGTCCCAGCATCAATGTTAAGTACTATTGTTAGTAATTATGACTAACCTCAAATAATCTTTCTAATGCTGTATAAGTTTTTAAATAGTAGGATAAATTACATGAACAAATTCTTTGGTTCTAAAATGTTTTATCCTGCTTCTGTGAACTATCATTTTTATGGCATATATAACGGAACAGAGTAAAGTCTGGTCTCAACTAAAAACCCTTGTATGATTTAACATTTGAGTGCAGATATATGGGCCACCTTATAGTTTAGAAACCTAAAATGCCTTTCAACAATATTTACTTTCAAACACATGCCTCAAAATATGGCCTTTACATTGATTTTGAAAATTCCACACATATATTCAGATGATAATGCACATTTTCAAATTTTTTCCATCCTTGGATTTAAAAACTTGAATTTGAATTTTATTACTTAAAGCAAGCTTCTTTAGTCTCCACCAGTTATTACAGTTTTTAGTATTATGATGCAGGAACTTTAGAGCCAGATTAGACCAGAGAGATAGGAATTACCCCTCCCCCATTTTATCCATGAAACAATTAAATCCAAAAAGATAAAAGCACTTCCTCAAGGTAGTGTAGTCACTGATGATGGATTATAATCAGAATCTGCATTTCCCTATTCTGAATTTAACGTGCTGCCTTGCATACCATATTGAAACTTCTTTTTTGAGATGTATTATTTAAGTGTCTTACTATGAGATCAATCTGGTTTTTATATTGATATAAATTGATATATATTGATATAAATTGATATTTGATATTCTTTGTATTTTAGTATTTTAGTAATTTTGTATTTTAGTAATACTTATATTACTAAATATAAGGTTTTTGAGCTCCTCCTAATATTTTTAAAAATAAACTCTAGTTTTCCTTCTGTGTTTAGAGCACTATGAATAATAAGTTTGGTACCCACCTGTCAAAGGAATGAAACTGCATAGGAAGAATAGCTTGCGCTTCTCTCTTCAATGCTGGGTCTGGGTATGGGATAGGTTCAGGGCCACATTCTGCAATTTCAACTGGGGCAGCCACAAGACTTTTCAAGATCTCCTTGACATTGATGCCTTTGGTTTGACTAATGCTAGATATGGATGGTGCAGGTTTCAACAGTTCACTGGGGTTCTCAGTTAAGCTTTCCTGTGATTTTTTCACTTCAGATGACAAAGTGGATAACAGTTCACTCACGGCATCAGGGCCTGTGCCCGTCTCCAATTCTGCCCCATTCAGGATGCTAGCCACTTGTTCCTCTCCAATTCCTGAATCTGTATGTGGAATGGAACTTTCTAGCTGAATATCTTCACCAGGCGTTGGTGTTTCTTTTTCCTTTATAGTGTCTGGAAATGTAGCAGGAGTTTCTGTAATAAAAGAAACTGGTTTAAACAAAAAGCTTCACAAGTGAAAATTCAGTATTATTAATAAAATATTCTCACATACTGGAATAAAGAAAATAAGACCTGTGGGAAACAAAGAAAAATCTGCTAAATGGATATGCATAACAACACAACTGGATTGAAACATATCATCCATGTACACCTGTCATTTTGTTCGGGAAGCCTCAACAGAACCCTATTTCTTTTAAAAGCCATGTGGCATTTCAAAACTGATGTCTTTAAAAGTGTGGAGAAATAGTACCCATAACAATTTCTTATAACAACTTACAAATAATTATTATATTAAGTTCCCCTTTATCCTTTGTCAGTTACCAAACATATAAGAGAAATTATTATACTTCTCTAATATTACCTTAAAAATAAAAAGTCATTTTATACCTTTTTTGGTACTTCAATAACCATTAATATAATATATAGTTAAAATACTTAAACTAGTTAAAAATATTATTTTAAAATCACATAATATTACACCTAAAATTCTGAAGTGTTAATAGCAAAAAGCATGCCAAATGATTATTTCAAAAGAATAAATACTTTAATAAGAAAATAATGTTCCTCAAGAATTTAGCTTATGTGTGCCTTTTTTTTTTTAAGATTTTATTTATCTATTTGACAGAGAGAGAGAGCTCACAAGTAGGCAGAGAGTCAGGCAGAGAGAGAGGAGGAAGCAGACTCCCTGCTGAGCAGAGAGCCCAATGCGGGGCTCGCCCTGAGATCATGACCTGAGCTGAAGGCAGCGGCTTAATCCACTGAGCCACCCAGGCGCCCCTATATGTGCCTGTAAGAACAATTATTTTGGAATACTCATTCTTTGTGAATAAATATAAATTTCAATTTGTGAAAACTGAAGCAGATAAAATATATATAGATATGAAATACACATACATTATCAATTAAAACAGAAAAACATCTTTAAAATGTTATATGCCTATCATTCTCATTATACAAATGTTAATACAATGAAGTTCCCTATATAATAAAATGTTATCAAATTCTAAATCATGACCTTGAAAATTGATGTAATCTAGGTATAATAGGGATAACAGCTCTTAATAAAGTGATGTGGAAGAAGAAAATAAGATACTATAGGTAAATTACTTGCAGGTCCTATTTGAAGTAGATACTTATTCAATGTTAGGTACTTGATTTACTCTGATTTATATTTAAGTTTATCCTTTGTAAAACAAGAAGGGCAGAGTAAGTTATTTCTAAGATCTCTTCAAAATGAACATCTGTAAGTTCTATAAAACTGCCCTTAGATTTTTGATATTTTGATTGGTTGTTTCTTTCTTTTGAAATGTTATTAGGACAGGAAATCAGAAGACTGCCCAACAGGAAATATGCCATTTTGATTTCAGCAAAACATCTCATAAAACCTTTGGTGAAGTCTCTACTAAAAACACAGAGAAATGTTGTTTTGGTAATACTATTTTTCGGGTGGGATCATAATTTTTTCAAAGTTTTACACACACATGCTAAAGGATTAAACATAATGTGGAGGGATTTCTTTAGCAACAGGTCTTGATTCTTAGACTCTAAAAACAGTTTTGTTAATGTCTTAAATGTAGATTAATGTCATGACATCCAAATTTACTGAGTATGTGAATTTATTTTTCCAGATTTCAGAATAATTCTGTCAAGTTTCCAAAAGAAAATTTTCTTTCAATTCTCCTTTCCTTTTGATTCAAACTGTATTAGATACATACATTACTTTAAAAAAATAACATTTTCATATTTTTCAACTTAATATACAATATCCATTTAAATTGGCTAAAAATACCCATCTCTCACAACTGAGTGTTTTATTGTCATTTTCCTCATTTTTATTAAATAGTTTTATTTGTTTGTTTAAGGATGTTAGAACTGACAGAAAAGATTAATCAGTAGAATAAGACAATAATATTCAAACACCAGATAACCAACATGAAAAACAGGTAGACGTATTAGAAACCTAATTGTTCCAAGACTAAAAATTAAGGTAACTGCATGAAAGTTTTGAGAAGATAGGTAATTTTAATAATACTCCTGGCAAAGCACTGGAGAAGGAAAAGGTAAGAGGTAAGGTAATAGTTACAGATTTTTTATAAAACCTGTAACAGAAAATTAAGACTTTGAATAATAGCATTTGGGATAAAAAGGAAGGAAAAGAATGAAGATGTTTCTGGAATATCTAGCTTAAGAAAAACAATGGAGACATGCCACTAAGTGACGAAGAAAGCAAAAGATAAACAACTTTGTTCAGAAATATTAGTGGGGGACAGTGCCTGGTTGGTTCAGTCAGTTGAGCATCAAATTCTTGGTTTTGGTTTGGATCATGATTCAGGGTTTTGAGATCAAGCCCAAGTAGGGCTCCATGCTCAGTGGGGAGTCTGCTTGAGATTCTCTCCTCCTTCCCTCCCTCTCTCTTGTTCTGACCTCCTGTTTACTCACTCTAAAATAAATAAATCTAAAAAAAAAAAAAAAAGAAAATTTAAAAAAAGATTTATATATTTGAAAGAGAGAAAGCACACATGTGTATGTGAGAATGGGGGTGGGGCAGAGGGAGAGAATATCAAGCAGATTCCCCACTGAGCATGGAGCCCTACATGGGACTTGATCTCACAACCCTGAGATCAAGACCTGAGCTGAAACCAAGAGACTGATACTCAACCAACTGAACCACCAAGGTGCTCCTGTTCAGAAATACAATGAGTTAAATTTGAAATTAATTGAGTGCAGAATCTCTGAAATATTTATAGCTGTTGAATCAAAAGAAATACAGCCATGTATTTTGGGATTATTCAAACTGAGATGATAATTGATACTTCAAAAGTTGATGAAGTAAGCTGGGAATAAAGAATGAGAACAATTGCTAGGGCAGTTACTGCCTCTATTGGAGGTATTACTGAATTTATTTAATGCATGTTTGCATTTATATATTATATATTTGGGGAGTAATATCAGTTATGGTAGAAAATTAGTCGAAAATTAAATAGCAATTAAGTAGAAATTAAATATCTTCTACAACAATAGGACAGAAAATGTAAATGCAGAAACAAAATAAGAACTCTAACAAGAAATCACAGTGGCATGGTTACCAGCATGGGCTAAATTTTCTTTCAGAATTTAATTCTCAAAAGGCATATAGTCAAATCTAGCACCTAGTCTGAACTTGGCTGATTTACAGATTTGGCCTAGGGTTCACTTTATCCTAATGTGAGGTTTCAGTGTCTTTATTTATGGCATGTTTTACATTAAGAACTACACAAAAATATAAACAGTATAGGAACCTGAAATATAAGAATTTTGCTAAAAACAGAATATCTAAATTAAAATCCTTGATTTAGTGTCCACAAGGTACCATATAATAAGATTTTTCCATCAACTACATAATTTTTTGCTTTTCCATTCAATGAACTCTTAGGGAACAATGACAATCTATAACTCACTAACTAGATACTTGAAACTCCAATATAAATGTTGACCTCTTAATTATAAAATGCAATTAAGTTTATTAAAATTGAATATTGGAATATTTTCAAATGACTCATTAAAATATTTACACAGTAATATAATTCTAATTTTATGTTTACTGTGACTGATAAATCAAGGATTTCAAAATGAAGCGGTTTTTGATATTTCAATAAGAATTCTATTCAAATCAGTAAACTTTGCAAAGCATAATTTATGATCTTATTATGTAGAAATAAAAATAAACACCAATGGAAAATTTTATAATAGTAATTGCAAATAAAGAAGAGATCAGTAGTTCAAAAGCTCATTGATTTGTAATTTTTCGATCGTTCTTCATCAGTTTCTACAGCAAGAGGCACGTTAGTACCCAAAGCAGAAACATGACTGGTCTGAGTGATCTTAACCTTATCAGAAACATGGAGCTGGATGCCAGATGCCTCTTTTTCTTACTGATTTTCATTGAACCTAATGAGTCCATCTAATATATTTTAGGAAACATGTAGGGTTAACTGCAGCAGATGATATGATTTCTGTATGGGACCTCATTTATCACAATATTTTTTGAAAAATCTTGTTCTTACAGTGATGTATAAAGTGTTTCAATGTCTTACCTATTAAATTATTCAAATTGCTATTTTCCAAACTACTTAAGTAAGAAATAACATTAAAGGAACATATAGCTCCTTTTTGTATATCACTAAAAATCTTATTAATTATTTGCTCAAGTAGTAATACTAAGCAAAATAAATCACCTTAGAGTAATTTAAAATATAAAAAACTATAAGTAACTTGTATTTTTTTTTGTTTATATTAAATCCCAAAATGCCAAGTCACACAAAAATTTACCTGAATTCCAAGAAAGAAAAAGCTGCCATATATAAGATTTAAAATCGTTATTATTCATTTTACACAACAAAGACTGCAAAAGCACTGAGTAGTTTTTTTGCAATTATTTACATATGATTTAATTTTGTTTGTTACATTAAATATATAAGAATACAACTTCAGGAATTCGGTATTATCAATGAATATACCCGTAACAGACAAAATTACAATTCAGGAGAAACAATTAAGAGCCAAAAGGTATTTCTAATTAATGTTCTTATTATAATGTATAGATCTGTTTGAGTTTATCTTAGTTGGAATACATGCTTTTTGGATGTGCATGCTAATGATTTTCATCAAATTTGGAAAGTTTTCAGGCCACTTTTTCTTCAAAAATTCTTTCTTCCCATTTCTGCCTCTTGTCTTCTCTTAGGCTCCCATTATTTGTATGTTGGTTCACTTGATGGTGTCTCACACGTCCCTGAGGCTCTCCCCTTTTCTCATTCCACTTTTCTTCATTCTTCTCTTCATTCTGTTCCTCAGAGTAAGATAACAGCAATTGACCTGTCTTCAAGTATGTTGATTCCTTCTTGTGCCAACTCAAATATTCTGTTGTACCCTTCTAATGAATTCTTATTTATTATAATTTTCAACTCCAGATTGCTACTGAATTCTTTTCTATATTT